CCCAAACCATTCTTGTAAGATGATGTCTTGGAGAAGTGGTTAGTCTTGAGTCCGTGTGCCACAACGAGAGGCCAACAGTTCCTCAGTAACCAAGTGTAATGATTCATGCCAAAGCAAGTAATGTATGGGGAAATAAACAATGCATGGCATATGTAATGCATGGAGAAAGTAACAAAGTTAGGGGGCAAACCCTGATATCCTTGCTCAGATTCTGACTCATGCAAAACCCTATTGTGAAATAAATCCCAATCAGAAACAACTGAATGGGAGTGTCGGAATAAGGTGGAACAGAAATCACAGAAGTTATTCCAGGCCCATGCAGTGTGGGACAAGGATGTCCTGGCTGAGGCACAGACCTCTGAGAACATTAGATGGCTAGGTCCTGAGCCCAGCTCTTCCACTGTCCCTGTTTTGCCTGGCCTTCCTAACAACCTGCCTATTTTTACTATTCATTCTCTAGCATTTGGAGAGACCTTTTCAAACCCATATCAGATCGGGCTGCAATACCAGATATCAATCAAAATCACTCTCTGCAGTCACATACTAGTTTCCTCCCTTATCTTGCAATGGCAGACGCAGCCCCCTGACAATATGCATTGTTAGCATTGAGGGATTTGGGGCTCTTTGAGAAGTCGTTCAGCAAATCTCTCCCTTTGGGGTGCTTATTCAGAACTTCACCCGGGTGGCTGGCTTACCTGCCCTGTTCCCCCGGGAGCCTGAGTTTCCCTGCAAACAGCACTGCGCAGGGCAGCTTGGTTATCAAAGGAGCCACATGAGCGTATGTAAGCCGAGTCAAGTGCTTTACTTCCCAAGTACCCTGGAAATCACCTTGAAAAAATACTGTCTTGTAGAGATACTGCAGGCAACTAAAGGTTTTAATTGATCTCGAATTGCTACAGCTTTGGGTGTGTTTTACGTCCCTATGAATACAGTTGCTCAACAGTTTGAGCTGCACAGAGCCAGGCCTGGAAAATGTTTTCCCTGTGCAACTGGCGCCACCGAGTGGAAAAAAGCATTTTTGCACTGGTTTCCTCCCGTAAACCGTACAGGCCTGGCGACTGCCCTGAATAAAGGCATGTCATTTAACCTTGGAATAAAAACTCCAGATAAGTTTCTTGAATTCTCAGTTAAAATAGGCTGGATATCAGTGCTCTGGGTACCTGTATCTGTAGATGATTAAAAAATAGTAATTTTCCGCCATAGAAAACTCTCCGCCTAAGGATGTCTGTTTTACAAAGCTATGTAATGATGATTTTCCTCATTTTACCTCTGATGAAAGTAACATACACTTTGTTCACTTGGCAGGAGAAAAAGGATAGCTCTGAAATTCATTCAGCTGTCCAGGAAAGGGTCCACAAAGTTTTAATTTTTTAAGTTACTCTTAATATAACCATTTCTTTATTGTGGTACTTTGGAGCCCTATCTGATGACCCAGCTATCTCTCTCCTCTGACTCTTAGCTTCCTAGCAGTTCCCAACAAAAAACAGAAGTGAGTGTTGGACAAAAGCAGTGCTTGGAGTGGTGCAGTAGGGTCTGCGCCCGGGAGCTCGGGACTCGGAGGGAGACAGGCAGTTCAGCGATGGCACCGGCCCCTGGTCTCCAGCTCCTGGGGAGCGTGGTGCACAGCCGGACACGCTGAAACCCCCTGGAAAACTGCGGCCCCACAACCTCCCCAGCTTATAGCCCCCCAGACGCTGGGAAAGGAAGTGTTTGCTGGATTTAAATATGTGTTAGTGGGAGAGTCTTGCCAAGGAAACTCACTTGATGCAAACAGCCAAATTCCCCTTCTCTGTTTTTAAGGAAATGAAGCTGTCTTCGCATTTGTGCTGTCCCAGTTTTTCACTTCCTTAAAATTGCCCGTTGTCGCAAGCCGCTGGGAAAGGTGAACCTCAGCGCTTGCCCGGAGGGAGGGAGGGAGGGCGCCTTGCTTTGGCTCCTGCAGGGGTCCCCTGGGGTCAGCTGAGGTCGAGGCAGAAAATCATTTCTATTGAGAATTCGGTTTACATCGAGAAATGGCTTGTTTTTGCAAACCCCAAGCCATTTGCATACGCACACACCCCCAACCGGCTTTCAGTGCCTCATTTTTAATAGCACTCAAAGGGAGCTGAGTGGATCCCGGCGGTTATTCATAAAAGCGTCAGCAGCGCAAGGTGACAGCTGGTACGGCGGTAACATCCATTGCCGCCACCAAAACGGGTCGTGTTTATTTTGTGTGGAGGGACGACA